ATAATGATATGCTAATGATATTCACGTACTTCTCAGTCCACGCAAACAGGGTCCATGGGGCCCCCTACCCCCTATACATCCAAATACGAAACGATACGAGTAACAATTACGTGTATAAAAAATAATTTCCTGTGACCAATCAGAGAGACGAAATCATTTATGAAAGCCCAGGCCTGTTACAAGGCATTTTCTGATTGGTACAAGTCCAGATTATTTTCAATTCTCACAAATAGCTAATTTAAATATTTGGGTCAGGCGGGTCACGTCGATTTCGCTTTGCTGTCTCTCTTTAGGGCTCATACCACTAATTGAATTTCCATAGACGACAATGTTAACATATGACGAGATTGCTATATGAAAATGACGAAGAAATATGGCTCAAAAATGGGAAATCAACATGCCAGTAATCAACCATATGAAAAAAACTAACATGTTGGCCAGCTCAAACTCTTGCAAATCTCAGGTAAACAAGACACACCTACTGTATTTGGATTGCACCAAGAGAAATCACTGGAAAAACACCAAGATTAGAACATCCATTAACACACAGAATATACCCACAGGTACACAGCCGCTAAGTAGTAAACAAAAGACCACATGTTGGTCTCACCTCTGACCCAGGTGATTACGCCCTCAAACAGGGAGCACCTGAGAAAAATAATATTTAAAAAATTTCATTGGTTCTTGCTAGGCATTTAAATTGAGGGCTACGAGCAGCCATTGGTTAATTAGTGGCATGAGACCTTTACCTCCATGCTATAAGACGAGTTGATCGCACAAGTTTGTGGAACTAATCCATTCAACTTCAATTTTGATTATTAGTGCCAGTTATTTTGTCATTTCCCTGAACATTTTATCTCGAATCACCCCAAAACGAACGTCTCAATTGAAATGCAAAAAAATAACCCCAAACCACGATCAGCGAGAGTGGGCTGCGTATCAGAAATTTAAAAGACAAGTTGACAGTCACATTCACACTCTCAGTGCATTTCTTTCGTCTATCATTCTTCCGTTCTCAATTACACAGGACATCAGGCAAGTTACGGGGATAAACTTTATTTGTCTCACACCTTCTGTGGGACAATAAACAATGCAGGGTGGAAGTGAGGCACGACAAGCTCGGTGTCTGCCTGATTGTAAACAACCGGGCGGCTGGCGCTTATTTCTGGGTCCTTATTGACAAAACCACTCAACTCTTGGTGGCTCTTAATGCAGGGTCAAATGTAACAAATTTTCACTGAGTGGCTCTTAATTGAGGGTGGCGCTTATTTGTGTGTTTTTACGGTAATTGTCCTAAGCAGTTGTTATATTCTTACATATCATTTCGTTATTTTTGATACTTTCAGATTTATCAAATATTTTTGAGTCATTTTTACCACAGTTACTCACATACCCTAATCCCATTGATCCACTCAATGGTGATGCAGCAGCAATGTATCTCCATAAACCAGAAGAATACAAAGACAAGATCAGAGGTAAATATCTTGTGTGTACAAGTTTGCTTAAATGAATGTTCATTGCTATGATATCAGATAAAATTTATTTAGCAATGTGGTGCAAATTTGGTCATGCATATTTGTGAATTAAAGAAGCAAACATTAACTACATACTATCTGTAGGGCAACAGTGGATCATTACTTTAACTGCGATACCAAGTCATGTGGTACCTTTTTTCACATATTTTAGTGTACAGACAGTTGTGCTGATATTGCTGGCTATACATATAAATGGTATGAACTCATGACACATACTAGTTTAAAAGGTAATACCCAGCACAAATTTGATTCCCTACACAGAATATGTTAGAAAATATGCAACAGAAGAAGCATTAAAAGAACATGATGATGGCTCAACGTCAAGTGAAAGTTCACTCAGTGATTTTGAAGAAGATGAAGCTGAAGATATGGAGCTATAACACTAACTCATTCCTTCAGAGATATTTGAATTTTTTATATTTTTAATATTTGTATCATGTTGTGGGTTTTCCTCAAACAGTACCAATAAACCTGTTTCATGTAGTTCATAGATTACAATGGGTAAAGTGGATAGAACGTTTTTTCTCTCAACATTTTGAATACTCAGAATAGAGAAAGTTGCTGTATTGAGATATAAATGTTGTCATCAGCTTTGTAATGTTGTGAAGACTGTCAAATTATACTGAATGTTTGATTTCATCAGTAAATGACAGAAAGACAATATTTGTAGTCCATTGCAGTTCATCCTATTTAGTGTGCTAGCAGGCAAACCCACACATTATTTAAAAATATTTTACAGAAAAAATTGTACCTGCTTTTACCATTCCCTCATTTCATGGATATTGTAGATCATCTATGCATTTTTATCTTCCCTTTGTCTTTAATTTTGACAACCCGGTTGTTGTTTTGCTCTAAGTGCACGAGGGAAATATTTGCTGCATTTTGAAGTTGTTTTTAAATCATGTTTTAGTGAATGTAACAGGAGATGGTCGTTAATTTTATAATTTATAATTTGCACTACATATTTTGATCATTGCTTTCTGATCAAAACTTGGAGTTTTATTCTGGAAGCATAAATGAGGAAAACGAGCCATAGTATAGTTAATCTCTCATTGACCATATAAGAAAGGAGTGAGATAGATTTTGATGGAGTGAAGTGATGCTCTTTGGCAGATCACCTCAGTTACAGTTGTATAAATTTTAAGTATGGTGACGCATGACTGCCCAGGGGTAGTATAAGCTCGTCTCTTACTCTGAACTTGATATCATAATGGTCTCAGTTATTAATTGAATCAAACAAGGAAACCACAGTCACTGCTGCGTTTTCTGTGACTGCATCAATTTTCCAAAACTGTTGCACCTTTCAGCAAGAGTACCTAAGAAATAGGGCATTACTAGTGAAACAGCACTGACACATAAAGCAATCTATGATAATATTATAAATGTTCCTAAATGTTATGAAAATTAATGGTAGGAAATAATGGTTGACCTTTCTCATTTCCTTCTACATGTATAATACAATCATTATTCTAAGCAAAAATCAGTTCACCGATTCGCATTACTCAAGTAGGGGGCAGCCTGTGGGTCTGGTCCGATACCCCAGGATATGTATTGTTGCTATGATCTAAACTACTCCATGTCATTCACAGAATTTAATTATTGCAGCATATCTTTTATTTATATTTAAGCCTGAAATATGAAATTTTGAACATTGGTTGACAGAACATTTAAGTGTTGCATTACTTTTTCTGCTATTCAACACTTTTATTGCGGTCTATTCAAGTATTCACCAGAAAGGGGTAACTCCTGTGCTAGGCTGGAAGGCACTGTCCATCATAAAAGTGTTACCAACAAGTCAGTGAAAGAAAATGCTAGCATTTGGTAATTACCAGTTACTTGAAGAATGATACTACTGGAGTTGGATTTGTGATCTTTTTGCATGAAGGTTCATTATTGCATGTTTCTTGCATGATTTGCACATGTCCTATTTGATGTTTTTAATGGGAATTGATTTAGTAATGTAATCTCAGCTAGCAGTTTATTTGGAGGCTGATGCTTTAAGCAGTGCAATTTGCACAATTATTTGATTATGGTAGGTTTGATTGTACAGCTAGCTGTAATATTGAAAATTACTTTTTAATACTTTGTTTCTCTTTGTTTTTAAATTTGTATCATCTTTTTTTTTTTAAATGGACTGGCTGTGACTGTTTGTATTAGTGAAGGCCATCCTTTTCCCGCATATTTTGTTTTTCTTTTGTATAGAAAATAACATAAATGGAAGGTTTAACAGTATGACATGCTTTTGTAGTAACTTATCTAACTATTGAGAGATAGTATTCTTAATAATATTAACTTGACACTGAAATCAAAGTTTGCTTCTTTTAATTTGCATCACACTGAGTTAATCTAACACATTTTATTCAACTTCTTCATGCAGAAAACCTCATTTCATTATTCATGCTGACAAACTTGTTACAACAAACTTTAGTCATAGTTTGCTTTCATTTTCCCCATGTCTGTAAGTTGGAAAAGCTGCATATAACAGTTGATATAGTTCTTTTTTGAAAGTTGACATTATCAGTAACTTTCTATTTCTACTTTTATTGCACTTAAAGCACACACACACATTGTAATCAATTTGTTCACTAAAGGTACACAGCCTTGCATCATATTAAGCTTCAAAGCAAACTTTGATTTTTGTTATTCAACAAAACAATAATTATCATTCAAACTAACTTGTTTCAACAGTCTTAATAGCTTTTAGGTACATAATCAACAACTATTATTATGTATCGATAGAACTGTCCCACCTTGAACTGGTGCAAATGATTTCAACAAGGTTGTTTAATATTCAAAACATGAATCAACATTTTCTATGGCTTATTTTACACTTATTTAAAAATTGTGAAAGGGGACTTATTTGTCCTGTGCCAAAAACTAAAATTTGCATCTGCACAGATGGTGGTAATTTATTAGACTGTTTGATAATCGAACATCATCAGATACTGTAATTTATTTATTCTTTACTAAATGTAGTCTCAATTTCAACCTGTTGCTGATTTACTCAAAAGAAATAATCTGATTAAAAACATTCCTCCTCCATCAATGTTTTGACCAAGCATTTTATGTCTAATTCAGGATTTCCTGATACAAACAATATAAGCTTACTTTGATTTAGGTCCTAATAGATATTTGGAGATCCTGAGCATTTTTGATTGTCACAGCCCTTGTATGGCTGTTACTGATTTAGTGATCAAACCATTGAAATGTTTCTATAGTGCACATGCTATTATGTTGGTTTATATCAGTAACTTGTAGACTCATTCAAATTTTGTCACTTCATGCTGTGTACAGTTGCAGTCCTATATACAATCAACCTTAAACGTAATTGGCTGCCAAAGTCAT